TATCATAAATAAAATAAAAATAATAATTATCCTTTACTCTTTATCAATCTGATTAAATTAATTATATGTTGAATATTCTATGTTTACGTTTGTTTTATTATTGTTTAACTCTTCTTATCAATGGGAAATATTTATAAAATTGTTTATTTTATATCTGCTGGATAAAATCTCTTAAGACGATTATTGAAAATGATTTTTTTTTTGTATGAATAAAGGGTCTACGATATTTAAGATAATATATTATAAATATCCTTTTGATAAAAAGTAAAAAAATATTGTTATGTTCTATCCAAGGTTTTAGAGAGGAGAATGAGTGAGTGAAAATGTCGTTTAGAATCTAAGGCATGAATGAATAAAAGTATGGTGTTAGATATTCTTATCCTTAGATAAATATCGTCTGTCTTATCCGAGTTTGATTTGAAATGATTTAATCGTATAATAAATTTTTCAATGATGTTTCTTGTTGATCTAATTGATAAAGAGCACAATCAAATAGATGATTATCTTGTTAAAAATAAAAAACGAATTATTTATTATCTTCATACCATTCAAGATCAATTCCTTTATTATCATCTTTTGAAAAATAATTCAATTAGTTTTTTTTTTTTTAAATAAAAACCAAAAGGAAGTTTCATTGCCGAAATAAAGGTCTTAGTTCTTCTTCGATTTCATCTCGATCTTGAGTTTTTTCTCGATCTAGTTAACGAAAAGGTCGTTTTCGTAGATTTTGTTAATAGTAGTCTTATTAAAATTATTAAATAAATAAGAAAAAAAAAAAACGAAGTTTTATTGATTTAAATAAAGATATAGATCGATGTTCCCATTGAAACTTTATTTCTTTCGTTGTTTTTTTTTCTCATATCGATAATCATATATTGTTCTTGCATATCTATTTGGTTATTTCATTGTTTGATCATGATCGTAATCAGTTGAACTAATTTGATATTAATTTTAAAAAAAACTAAAAATGTTTGTGTTAGTTGATAAATAAAATCTATTTTATATAAAATAATTCTATAAAATGTTAAATATGTGTATCTATAATAGATGGTAAATGTTTGAGAGTAGCGTTTAAAAAGAGTATTATAAAATAAAATGGTATAATGTCTTCGTTCAGAATTCAAATAAATAAAAAGATGTTGACCAATAAATTCATCATTAGAATGAGTCAACTAACATAAAATGTCTTGGATATTCACCATTGGAAAAATGAAAAGAATTTTGAAAAAATTTTATTCAATTGAACAAAAGAAAAAACGTTAAACGGGTGATATTCGAAGAATAAATAGCTGTTTATGTTCAAATTCCTCTTGATAAGAGTAAATTTATAAATGAGATAATAAAATAAAAAAAGGATAATTTCTTCGATCGTTTAGTTCGTATTAGAGAAGGTAAAATCGTATTTTGTTGAATGTAATGTAAATCTAAAGGATTGAAATTGTTTAGATTCTATTCAAAGATAAAGATCTTTTTCTATTTATTTATTAAATTCTTCGAAATCAATTGATTGATAAAAAAGTATCGAATAATCTTATCGTCAATTTTATTCAATATAATAACGAACGATTTATTTTAAACCAATTGTTGGACATTTGAGCGTTTTCATTTTTTTTCTAAGTTTTTTTTTGTTTATATTCTATCGGAATCGGAACGTTAATATTGGTCTTGATAGTTTATTTTTTTCGTTTAAATTTTGTTAGTTTTATTCAATTTTCAATTTTCGAACTATTTTCGATAAATTGTTATAAAAGAATAAATCTCTAGAAGATTTTTATTTAATATTCTATTAAATTTTATAATATAGGATATTATCTACTATAACTATCTATTTAGATATTCTTATTTCTATTCGAACGTTATTTAATATATTAAATTGATTTATTTAAGATTATATTTAAACATTCTTTAATAGAAATATTTCAGGAATGATTTTAATATCTCGAAAGTATCCATTGTTAATTGAAATGATAATAAATTTATAAAATATCGTTTAACGATCGTTTAATCTATTATTTATGATAGATTCGATAGTTCGCAAATAAAGAACTGAGGTCAATCGATTGAAATAATCGTTGAGATATCGAAGATAAACAAGAATCTGATGAAAACTAGTATCCATCTTTATAATAGGAAATAAAATATATTCAAATAGAATTGATAGGATATAAAACTTTTAAACGAATATGAAAATATTTGAAAATATTCTATTAGAATTCGAGTTTTCCCTTATTTTAAAATAAGGTTTGAAAATCTTTTCTAGGAATTCTTGTTTAGGAGAAATAAATTCTTTGAAATCAATCAAATGAAAGAGCAACCATTTATCAATAACAATCCGGCTATTAATTATTATTTAGTTCGATTTTTATCGAAACACAGATTTACAATGTCAATTTAGACACTCGACTATATTATAGAACTTTTTTGAGAAGAATTTTATCTTTAATTCTATGGAACAAAATATTCGATTATATTCTCTATATAGTAAATAAGAGTCTACCAGTAAAAAAGATAAATATTCTCCATCCGAACATTATTTTCATGGTTATCATCTCTCATCTGACTACTTATCAATATTTCAAGATTAGAAATATCTTTAAAATAATATTGATAAATAATAGACAAATCTAATTAAAAGGTCAATCTGCAACAAATTAGTAAACATATGTTTTCAATCATCGATTATTATATTTATCTAAGAAAATATTCATATATTCAAAGTAAAGATTTGAAATAAATAAATAAATGTTTCAATCAGTGATATCAACTAAACAATATTGTTGACAATAAAGAATGATAAATAGAAAGTTAAAGAAAACGACCATTGATCATGATCAATATAATCTGGATCTTATTGATAATTATATCTATTCTCTACTCTTGTTATTTGAGTTGATTTAATTGATTGAACGGTGATAGATCGTTGATCAGTCTCATCGGAATAAATCATTTTATTAATAGATTTTATTTTGTTTTTTTTTAAGATAAGAAATAATTGTTGATATTGCTAGTCTATGATGATAAATATTTATTTATTTGAATTATATTTTTCAAGATCAATCTCTCTCTCCTATAACAATTGATAATTAGTATCAGTGTTAATATTGATAAATAAAATAATCAATTTCATAATTGTTAATTGTTAATTGTTGAATATCGATTGATTTATTTGAGGTGAGTTTTTTCCTTTTAGAATTATTTATTTTATTAGATATTTAGAATGATTATAGAAGAGTTAATATATAAAGAATATTATATTCACTTGAAATAGAATATTTTCTTTATTTCGATAGAAAATAAAATAGAAGATCGAGGATAAGAGAGATAGATCAATATTATCTATAGAATAAACGTTTAAAATCTTGTTAATTATTTAATCTATTATCGACTAATCATCATAGATATGAATAAATAGTTAACGTTTAACAAAATAATATAAATAACTGTTTCCGTTTTAAATGATAAATCAATGATTGATAATAACATTTCTTTTCTATTTGTTAGTCGTTATCTAAACAATAATCTTATTTTATAAATGATTGTTCTCTTATTGAATTTTCATCGTTTAGAATTATTTTCGTTTTTGATAAATATTATTTAAATAATTTTTTCTATAAAGTGCTACTGGTCTAGAACGTTTACTTTCGATATTTATAATAATGATCATTATCTTGATTATCATCTATGATAATAATCTTCAATAGAAATAAATCTATTAAATCTAATGTCTTATTTCATCTCGTCTTTTTCTTTAAATTGTGTCATCGAAATCTGAAAAAGTCTAATAAAAATAAATAATTATATAGAAAAAAGTGTCAATTATGGAAAATTCTAGTGGATTTATTTCTTTCTCACCTTATCTCTAGTTGGATAGAGTTTGATGAGCTGCTCACCAATAGATTGTTTTCATTTCTAATCGACCATCGTTTTACTGAAAATAACCATAGAAAAGTCGAATGATTGAAAATGTAAAAGTGATCACTATGAACTCGCGTTTTATTTTTTTTTCCCAGACATAGTCAAACTTCGATTGTTAAATTTTTTCAAAATTTATGAAAACATCTTATTCTGATTTAGCGTTAAAAACTGAATGGAAAAATGTTATTTAATTAGGTATAGAGTTAATAAGGTTAAAAATGTCTCATCCGATATAGATAGCTTCCACATGTCTCATAGCACGTTCTTGTGAGTATTCTTGTAAACCTATCTAGTTTTATTCTAATAAGATTATCTCATTAAAATAACCAGCACGTAACCTACAAAAGTACCTATTTTGTTTTTTTTCAGTTTCTGTTTTTTGATTTTTTTTTCCCATTCGATGGTAACATTAGGCAAAACGAATAAAAAAATGCGTTTGTATTTAGCGATTGTTTATTAGGATGGTCTAGTTAAAAATCCAAATAGATAGAGTATGAAGAATAACCATAAAAAACTCTGTCGGATCATACATATATAGATCTTTAAAACATATATCGTTCGATGGAATTTTTCACACGTTATTCTTCATATCCTATCTATTTAGATTTTTAACTGAACCATAGTGATAATAACTGCTAAATACGAGCACATTTTTTTTTAATCTTTTTGCCCAATGTTATCACCAAATGGAAAAAAAGGCTATTTTGTTAGAAAAAGAAAAACTAGATAGATTTACAAAAATACCTATAGATACCTGCTATGGGACATGTTGGAGCTATCTATATTGGACAACGATTTTTTAAAACTATTAATAAATGACATAAATTCGACTTTTGTACGGTTCTTTTCCGGCAAACGGTGGTCAAATAAAAATAAAAAGAATATATTCGTGGTAAGCTCGTCAAATTTTATCCAACTAGAGATAAGTGAGCGAGAGAAACATTGATTCGAATTTTATCATTATTGTCACTCGTTACTTGATCATAATGAGGATCAGTTGTTTTTATATTTCACCAATTGACATGACCAAAATTTGTTTGGGATACAACTTAAAGAGAAGTTAAAGGAAATTTATATGGATTTTCTCAAGGTATTATTGTAATTAGACGTTGACATAGATTTGATAAGCGTATTGAACATAATTTTAGTTTATCTTCCATTGAGACATTCCATAATGGTACTGTTAATAAACTAAATTTAGATGATAGAATTGATTCATTAGATAGAAGCTAAAGAAAAAAAAAAGAGATTTATTCTATTGTTTTGGTTTTTTTTATGCAGGTTGAAGGATATCGAAAGCATTAGGAGGTTCTAAAGCAGTTTTAATTGAACGTTGAAAGTGCAATTGCCTTTAATAAAAATAAATAATTATTTAAAACTTGTTTTTTTGTTTTCGATTAAAAAGTTTTACTAATTGTTGTTGTTCATCATCTTCAGTTTTGTGTATTTCCATTTTAATAATTCAATTTTTAATATTTGTTCCTATTTGTTTCTTTATTGTAGGAATTCATTTTGATTCCTTGACTGTTTTGATTGGAACATTTTTTAAGATGTGATAAATAAGTATGTTTTACATGAAATGACATTCTACAACATTTGACATTTTAAATTTGATAATGTTGTTGCTTTTCGAATAGTAGATGAAGGTTTTGTATAATCTACTAAGGTTTTTTGATGTTTTGGTTCAATCCTAATGAGAATAAGTAAATAGTTATTTAAATTTACAGTCAATCGTTAGGATCTAATAGCGATTAACGGGTTCGGTGAAAGCTTGCTAGGATATAAGACTCTAAAATCGAATTTTTTCGGCTTCGACATAGATGTGTAACTAAAAGTGAAATAAAACAGATAGGGAATATGAGACAGTAGAAAACGATTTCATGGATTTCTTACGAGAAAAACTTGACAAATGTATTTTGACGATCGAGTCAAGACTATGTGCATAATGTAGGTTCTAATAAACTCTCAACATCCTAAAAAGAGTTTATTTACCTAGCTTATTTCTATTGAGATATTTCATATATAGAATCTTCCTCAATATCACTTTATATAGCGATAAGTCTTAATGAGACTAGTCTATTCTGAAGATTTTGAAATTTTTTGATGGTTCCTATCTAAAAATATGAAAATAAAACAATTATCATGCCGTGTGATTATTGTGAAAAGTAATATTTTTTCTTAAATTTGTATTTAAGAATAGAAGAAATTTGAAAACATAAAATTTTCATAATAGATTAGTCTCATTCAAGGTTATCATTATACACAAAATTTCAAGGCGAAAATTGGAAAGTGAATTTTTCCAGTGATCCAGAGGAAGAGCACGTCATTATGCTGAATAAATGGAATAGTTCGTCAAAATTGAGCTAAGAGCACGCAACGCTTTTTGAGTATTGAGAGTTCGTTAGGGCCTACATGATACATATAGTCTCAAATCGAAAACATTTTCTCGTTCGTCTTCAAACGATGAAGTCGTTCAAAGTGATTCATAGCTATTTACCTCCTATTTCTATAAAAGAGTTTCAAACCTCGAAATATAAAATACCTATTTAACACTTGATCGATTATTGACACAGAGAATTACTTTTACAAAAAGATAATTGATAAATTTTCAACTAAGATTTCATCAGAAAATAGAACAAGATGATGTTAGAATATTCTCAAAGTTTCAACAAAACCAAATCTATCTTTTTTCGAGAATAATAACAAATCCAATATCTGGACAAAGACATATTCGCTTTTGCTAATAGTTTCAGCTTATTTGAATAAGGTCTAGCTATATATTCTGACTCAAGATCAGTATACCATTGACCGGAGTTATTGCACAAATATTTAAGTCTGAAAGTTCTCAACTGATGGTAGAAATAGGAGTAAGAACCTTTCAAGTATATAGTAAAGTCTCTATGACATACATTAAGAATTTGAGGTTGTTCAATAGATCGATTAACATGTTGTTGACGTTGATCAATAGTACTTAAATAAGATAAAACTTGATTATAAATAGTAGATGTTATATAATTATTTTCGATTTGTATTATAATTGATTGAAGACATTCTTTTATTGGATCATTTTTTTTTTACAATAGAATGTTATTTTTGGTTAATGAATAACTTTAGTAGGTTTTCTTATCGTTATAAAATCATCATAATTAATTTCAATATAAACTTTCTTTTTTGTATAAAGAAGTTTTCTTATTGGATTGATGAGATTTTTTTTTGATGAACTAAATAAAATAAGTTTGATTACAAAAAAACAAACTTTAAAAAAATTGCAAAGATTGTTCGTTTTTTTGATGTAAATGTTGTCTATAAGATAATTATTTCGTTTATTATTTTAATCTGTATTTATTCGAATAAATGTTTGTTGTTGTTAAAGAAGATTTCGTTGTCGTTTTATTTAACAATTGATCTTAGAATATGATTAACATCTTCATTTCATATTTTTATTGTTGAATATGTAACACATATTTTATTTTAACTAAGACCTTCTTGTTCACGACGTTTATTACCTTATTTTTTATATCATTCGAAATTATCAATTTGAATTTGTTCGTCAATTCGTTGTTTTTTCAATAAATCAATTGCTTTTTCTAATTCGAATTAAAAACAAATGCTGAAAATAAGTAAAATATTTCAACAAACCTTGACTAGTTAAACCTTCAGTACTGATAATACGTTCTACTTCACCTTTTTTAATAGCTTCTTTCGTTCTTTGTCTGATTTTATATGAACTTGAAAGAAAAAAAAAAGAAATTAATTCAATAAATCAATTTTTAATCATTTATACTTCCTAATAAAAATAACCAAATGTAATAAAAGATCCTGTTGTAATGAAACCAGCATCGATAGACCAATAAAAGAGTGGAGGACGATTCTTTCGAATGTCGTTCACCAAGGATACCTAAATACAACAATTCAATGAAAATAATTCAGATTAAAATAAAATTTCTTTTCAAATGAGGTCAATTCAAATTAAAAGTCATAGTTAAAATCAACTTAAACAAGGGCGTGGACGTGACGAGTCTACGCAGCATCTCTTTGTCTGGAACTCAACTACTTCGTGTTCGAAGTATATCTCCAATGCTGAGTTACACCTTTGAATAAGAGATAATTCAAATGATCTTTTAATTTAAAGAATCATCTTGTATAATTCTCTTTATGAAGGAGTTTTATATGTCGAACAAAGATTAAACGAAAGTTTTTCCTAAAAATATTGACGATCATACTGGTTTGTTGTCTTAGAAAATTGGAAAAAAAATTCGCTTTTAAAATAACTTCGGTAATGTTAGAATTAAGTGTGAGTGTTCGTTTTCAATCGACTTTATGCTAGTTTGTAGAGCTCGATAAACTAATCAAGATGGAATAATGCATTCTTTACTACAGAAAGAAATAATTGTAAACTGTTATTTCAGAAATTAAAATATATGTCCTAAATAGATGATCAACATAGAATTGAAATCAGATGGATTTTTAAAAAGAAAATAATTGAATGCTGTACATTGATAGCACTCATGATATTGAAATAACGATTGACTTAATTGTTAAAATTTTCAAAGATAACATTTTCCTTAATTATGTTCAATCCTTCATTATAGATGTGCACGGTTAACTTTTTTTCATAGTATTAGTCTGTCCTACTCTGCAAGATAGGGTTATAATGAATAACTCTATTCTTCTATTAGTGTTTTTTTTTTTATTTTGACTTTGCTTCAGTTTATTCAATGAATCAAGTTGTTCGATGAGATCATTTTCTAAAAAGGCCTATTTAATGTAATTAACTCAATAGAAATAAATGTTTTTGTAAATTATTAAAAGACAAATCTTTTTATAAAAAATTTTGTTCACATAGATCAAACTAAATGATTGAGATATATTGAAAAATATGTCGAAGATCATGTTTTATGATCTATCATTACTTATGTACTACGATCATAACGATTGATATTGGAAATATCTTTCAATTCAGTCTTAGAACTTATATCGTTACCTTTCTCAATCGTATCATTCAACTATTATCATAATAAATATCTAAAATCTACTAATATTTTAATGTTTTTTATTCAAATAAATAAATTATATTTTTCATATTTATTTAATAAAAAATACCAAATTTAAAGAGTTATAATCTTTCGTATATTGTTATATAGCGTTAGAATTTGTTTATTTTAATAATAAGACAAGTTAACCATTATCTATATAACACGAATCAAATAACGAAAGAAAAAAAGAAATTCTTGGTTTTTTTTTTATTTTTATTGAGAATAAAGAATACATACAGAAGAAGAAGAAGAAGAAAAGAACACAGATATCAATGAATGAATCACTCGGTTTTTTTTCACAAAAAACGAAGAAAAAAAATAAGTTAATAAAAATCGTTCAGGATAACCTTCAGATATTTCACCTTCATATTCAATCATATATTCTATATCTAAATCATCTTCATCATCAGGTAATGGTAGATTTGGTGTATCAGTTGATGTTCAATCTGATATTAAACTATTTGAATATGTTATTGTTACATAATATGTATTTGTATTTGTTGATGGTGATTGATTTTGTTGTTGTTGATAATGATCATTTGATGAATTTGATGATTGTTGAGTTTCTGTATCAATTAATGTTGTTGGTGATTCAATTGTAGCAGCAGTTGATGATAAAGGTGATTGATATTCTAGATTAGGTACTATTTTAATTTCTATTCAATGTTCATCAGTTGATGTTGAATGTATAATTTGTTCAAGTTATTTATTTGTATTCGATATTGATGGAATATTTACTATTGTTGTTGTTGTTGTATTATTAATATTATTTGATGATGTTTTAAGTAAAAATATTGTTAATTCCGATGGAATAATAAGATGATCAGGTGATGTTAAAGAATAAAATTCTTTTTTAAGATCATTTGTATGACGTATAAGTGATGGAACATGTTGACTTATTGATGAACTAATACGTTTTTCTGTTGATGATGTTTCTTGTAATTGACGTATCTATGATTCACATTGATCAATTATTTCATCTAGATAAATAATGAAAGACAAAAAAAACTAACAACAATATTGTATTTTTTTATTTACTTCGTTTTAAAAAGAAATGTCGCCGTATGATATCAGCAAAACATAGACGGAGGATTTGGTAATTGTTCAAGCATTGCCCATCGAACTGTTGCTTGTCGAATATTATCATCATATTCAAGTGATTGAGCAGTACCAGTTGGTGTACCACGTGTATGTTCATAACCAGGTTGATTAAAATAAGGTTCAGATACAAATATAAGAGATTGAATAGAGACAAGAACCTTAAAAAAAAAAAAGAAGATAATTATTTTCTAAATGAAATGGAAGATATTCAGTAATGATATCTTTATAAAGAGTTACGATCAAAATCAGAAATTTATCCTCCTAATCTTGGAAAACTGAACGATTTTCTTCGTTGTTCATCAATCTCCGTCCGTCAGTCTTAATGTATTAAAAAAAATCCAAAGTATTTAATAGTTGATTTGTCGAAACTTGAATTTTTTTAGTTAGTTCATTTTCAGACAGATACTCTCATAATATTGAGAGAGGAATATGGATGAGGAAGGCAGTAAATATAATTTAAAATAACGTTGTAAAAATGTTGATGTTGCATTCCATTTTTCGTTCTGGTCTACCATCTAATGTATTTAATATACTTAAACAAACTTTTCCATCATTATATAAATTCGGATTAAATCTAATTGTATGATTTCCTGTTGTTTATAAACAAATTGATGGTGGTGTTGTTGGATATTGATTTGGAAAATAAAGATCAAATATAAAACATCCATTTGAATATGGTGTACTATCAGGACCTGTTATTAATATTTTAATAATATCCATACGATTTTCATCTTAACGTAGAAATATTGTTGAACTAAATGATAATGTTAATCATGTTGATATAATTATTTGTTCGTTGTGGTAAACGTTTTATTCTTTGCATTGAATTTATTGTTAATGAATCAGGTAGAATATCGTTGATAATGATATTTAACTTTTTTATTAAATAATACTTTATAATTTGTTTCGTTTTCAATTGTTATTGAATATATACTAAATTGTTATAATTTTATTGTTTGACAATAAAATTCTTCTAATGTTATTAATTAATATTTATTATTATTATTTAAATTAAATTGTTGTTGTTGTTGTTGATTATAATTATTTTCAATTTGTTTATCGTTGTTTTAATTCAATATAAAATAAATATAATTGTTGATCATCATCAATTTATATCATTGATGTATATGTTTATACACATTGTAAAAGATTATCAATTAAATATTTAATATAACTTGTTTGATAAATTAAATTTTGTTAATTTTTCATTATTTAATAAAGAATTAACTAAACGTAAACAATAACAATGTATATCACCTTGTTTTTATATATATAATATTGAATCATAACATAAATATGATTCATAGTACTGGTATAAGACATGATGTATTTATTATTTAAATTAAATTATCATAAAGAAGTTCTTCAGATAATTTATTTGAAAATATTGAATAAAATCTATCAAATAAATAAATAAAATGTTCTTCATGGAATTTTTGTATTTGTATTATTTCATCTGGTTTCCATTGTGAATGTGTTGAATCTGTACCTTTAGCCCAAAAATTTGAATTTGTATTATTATTATTATTATTAATTGTATTTAATTGTTGTATTGTTGTTGATTCAATTTGTTGAATATCATCTTGATAATATTGATAATCATTATCATAAATTATTGTTTGATTATTTATTGTTGTTGGAATAGGTAATGATGTTGATATTAAATCTATTTGTGTTACGATGTGGATGACGTCTTATTGATGATAAAGATGAAAGTAATAAAAGTAATATAGTTGAATGTAAAATTTCATCTAATAAATAATTTTATGAATCGTTTAAGTAAAATAGATAATATTTCAAATAGTAATTTTGATAATTGACGCATATCAAAATTTTCTTGATGTTGTGTTTGATCTTGATATTGATTTATAATTGATTATTTTTGTTCAAGCATTAAACGTATTATATTAGATGGAAGTGAACCATTTTGTTAAGATAGCACGTGCATAATTTGGTAAACGAAGAAATATTGAAAATGTTCTAAATACATAATATTAGATTGTCATATTATTTGAAGAATTTGTTGATGATGAAACTAATGATGAAAAATGAAAGAAATTTATTTTATCGAATATATTTCTATTTGATGATGATAATAAACATTCATCATAAGATTGTATTGATGGATAATTTCATGCAAAATGCTGTGCAAGAATTTAAAGACCATTTGCATGAACAAATCTATCAAGTAATATTGGATAATCTTTATTTTCAACTATTGATTTATGTGTAATTAATTTATTTTCCTAAAATAGATTAAATAACTTAGTTGAATCTTTTTTTTTTCTCCAAACATATTCCTGATCTCTTCTAAAGAAGTTTACAAGCAACGATTTGTTTTGGTTTTTTACATAATGTTAAACACGTAGCTTCAATCGAAGAAGTTTTCTATCCAATACACATTATAGCAAGATGAACAATAATGGGAAGACTCCTAAAAAACCGAAAATGGTATTTTTCAGGTTCTAGAAGGCTCTGCCAGATATATTTTTAAATGGTGCCATCTTAAAGAGTAGAAAATTCTGAGTAAAATGAGGGATCGCAGAATTTTCTACGAACTTCTTATAAAAAGTTCCAAGCATCACAAAAATCATGACAATTTCGCTTTTTCATGATTTTTGTGATGCTTGGAACTTTTTATGAGAAGGTCGTAGAAAACTCGACGATCCCTCATTTTGCTCAGGATTTTGTGCTCTTTAAGATGGCACCGTTTAAAAATAGTTCTAACAAAGCCTTCTAGAACCTGAAAAATACCATATTCGGTTTTTTAGTCTTCCTATAATGTGTATTAGATAGAAAACTTCATTAAAATCGCTATTTGGATTGGAACTACTTGCTTAACATTAGGACAAAAAAACGAAACGTTTTTTCTCACCACTTTAGTTTGATAATCATATTTTTTCTTAATTAGTTAAACATAAAAAAAAAAAATCTTTTTCTCTATCAACTTACTTGACCATGATTAATTAAAATATGATTATCAAAAGTAAATTGAATAACATCAACTTGATAAGTATTTAATAATCGACAATCAAATGATAATAATAAATCAGTTAATCGTGTTGTTTTTGGTAAAATACATTGTCGTTTTTGTCCATTAATATGTTAAATAAAATCTACATTTTCTATAGGTGATATTGATGATTGTTTTTTTGAAATTGATGATTAATTTTTTGTTAATTTTGATGATAATATTTGATGTTTAGTTAAATATTGTTAATGAACTAATTGATTTTGTTGTTAATTTTCCTTGTATTGTTGATCTTAATGAAAGTAATTCAGTTCGTGGTATTTTTCTTCTATGATTATTATTTATTGGTTCACTTGATGATTTAATTAAATAACTTTTATTTGTTAATATAATTTGTTCGTGTCCATATATTAGTTTGTAAATAATAAAAACAAAATAATTTTTCAATTAATTGTCGAATATTGATTGATATTGAACAATCTTCAACTAATTTATGATAAAGTGAATTTATTTGAAATAATCTATAATATTCACGTATATTTATTGGACAATGACGTGTATTTATTAAACATTGTATATATTCATGTTTAAGTAGAACGTTGACGTTAATATATATTGTAAATAACCTCTTAATGGACGATCTTGTTCAAGATGTTGTTCAGTTAAATAAGCTAAATATGTTTATATTAATGAGATATTTATTTGATTTGTTGGACATTGTATAGATAAATTTGTTAATAATGTTATTAATTGTGTTAATAAAATTGATGGTGATTGTATAAATGATGATATATTTCTATAATTAAATATATTAAGTAAATATTTCGATATACTTTATGCAACAATTGTTTTTGAAAACCATATTTCTACATTTGAATATTTAATTATTTTTCTTAAATAATAAAATCCATGATAAATTAATAAATAATTTGATGTTTTATTTATAATATATTGTATTTGTTGATTTAATTCTTCAATTGATTTTAAAAAATATTCATTAATTAATATTTCATTAAGAAATTCAACACTTAATGAACATATTTTTAATTGTTTAAAATATTCAATAAATGTATAATTATTATTATTAATATAATCGATAACTAATAATGGTTAATGATGTTCTATTGATGGTAATAACCATGAATAATTTTTTAATAAATATTCTAATAAATTTTCATCTAATTTTATATTATCTTATTTTATTTTCCAAAAAATATTATTAATTATTTGTTTCATTTGTTCATTAATTAATTAATTATTAATATTATTAATTAAATAATTAATTTTTTTTTTTTCATTAAAATTTAATTCAGATAAAATATTAAAATAATTATATGTAATTAAATAATAAATAAATAAATAAAATTGTTTATCTGTAGAATGATTACCAATAAAAATAAATATTTCATTAAAAAGAAAATTATTAATATAACAAAAATTTATCTTTAAGTATAAAAAGAAATGTTTTCAAATAAATAATCATTTAATATAAATGAATTTTTTAAACATAAATCTATTAATTGTAAATAATGATTAAATCAACGATATTTATCTGATAATATAATTGATATTTTTTGATGATGATCATTTTATTGATCAATACATTTATTTAATATAATCATCATCATTTAATCTTGTTATTATTGATCTATTAGAATTTTTATAATGTAATATTTGTTTACCATAAACAGTTTATATTAATGTGTTGATACGGAATGACTTGTTTGTTCAATAATCATTTGTTGATCATATGCATAATAACTATATACAGATATTTGTTGTAAATCAATTGTATGATGATCAATTGGTTTAGAAAAATCTATATGTAAATGTTTAACAATATCAATTTGTTTTCTTATTGATAAATTAATTATTTGTTGTCCTTGTGTATTTAATAAATAACTACATGGTATTAAATAATAATCATTATCAGATATTTGACATGTTATTGATTATGGATATTCTCTTAAATTTCTATTTAATTGTTTCATTACAGTATAATTGATAATTGATAATTGATAATTGTGTAAATGGTATTATTTCTATAGATTTTAATATAATTGAATATGGAAATTCTAATGTTAATGTAGAACGTTGTTCATTTGGTAAATATGTATATAACCATGGTGGTGAACGTAAACGACGTGATGATGATCTTATTATTGTTGTTTGAAGATTATTATTTGATTTTTAATAATATTTGAGGTGATGATGCATTTCAATTTGAAGATATTATTTGACATTGTGATGATAAATTAATTGAACCAATATTCATTCTATTATTTAATGATTGTCGTTGATCATAAATACGTTGTATTGATAGTATTTGTGTTTGATTTGTTAAATAATTTGAATATAGAATTAAATTCTTAACTAATAAATCAAGTAATTTATATTGATTTAATGGTTGAAATAATATTTTTCTATTATATATTGAATGAATAATAAATAATAATAATAGATTTGTTGTTAAATAATGAGATAATATTGGTAAAAGATAATTTGGTTGTGATATAAATATTGTTAAACAATAATAAATCGTATCACTAACAGATATTAAATAATTTAAATTAAAATCTATTGTTGTATATATAAATGATTTCATATTGATTTGTTGATGTTATTGATGAAGCAAGAAATTTAGTTGATGAATGTTAATGATATTTCAGGTGATGAATAAAGTGATCAATGACATATTGAAAGTATTCAAAGAACGTTTTTCAATATAAATTGTTTAAAGTATATCATCATTATGTTCATCTTCAATTTCATTTTATTTTATATTTATATCTTCATTTTTAAAATGTTGAAGTTGTTGATCAATTGTTTGATTTCTATTTTCCATTTATTTTCTTATTAATAATATCATTTGTCTTATACATATATCATGTAAATTACATTGACGATGTATTGATGATGATCATTTTCAATTTGTTGTTCTTGTTAATGATTGATTATTTTGTAGAGAAAGTTTATTAACTATATTGATTAATTGCCATTTATTTACAGATAATGATGATGGAGGTATTAATGAACTTGTTGAAGATGATGATGATGATGATGAATACGATCATAATTAATAAAACATATTAATGGATCTATATCATTTTGAGTAAATGATAATGGTCAATATGAATAACAAAATGACCAAACAAAATCAATTATATTACGACAAACTTTTAAACGTATTGATGATGTTGATTGAGAAAAATTTTGTTTAAAAACGATAAGTTTTAAATTTAAAATGACAATTTAATGGACCATGAAAACCATTACTTATTAAACGATCAAGAATAGATAGAAGTCTATTAAGATAATCACTATTGACATTAGTTGATGATGATGGAATATTTTGAGATTGATTTGATTCATCTAGGACAAAAAAAAAAAGTTATTTATTATTCAATTAGAAAACAGAAATATTCATCACACTTAAAAAAAACCTATTGTAATAATAGAAAAGAAAACCTTATGCGCACTGTCGTCGTTGCGATGAACACTTCTGATAGAATTGATAATTTTTTACTATTTTATCAAATAGATAGAAAGAACCGAAATCCAAACTATGATCGATACCAATCAGAGTCTCAGTCTCGATGGGAGTTCGATCATATCCTCCTGTAATCCTCGTCCTGATCTCACATTGAAGAAATTATTCAGTCAAAATAATATTTTTAATTAGTTATAAATAAGTTCTTAATTAAAGAAAAATATTTATTGTTAAAACATACCTAATGTTGCTACTCTTTTACTTAATTTAATATTTTCGATAATATTTATATATTCATCATTACACATAAATGATCTTTGAAAATAATTAATAACAATATCAACTGTACTTTCATCAATCATATCGTTGTGTTGTTTGAATAAATTTAAACCATATTTTAGCAAATAAACTATTTGAAATATTACCTTGAAACTATATTTGTTTAATTTGTTTAACTAAATCAATATTTGTAGTTGTATAATATAATAATGAAAATAAATGATGCCATAAATGTATTGTTATTAATGATAATTATAAGAAAAATTTTAATAATTTATCTAATGTATCAATTGATATAATAAATAATGGTTTTAAATAAATATTAATTGGTGGTTGATTATTATTTGTGTTCTGTGTTGTATATATATTTGTTAATGATATAATTAAATATGATGATAATAAATGTTTAATTTTATAATATAAATCATATTATATAAAATGATTATTGTTCAATAAAATAATTTATATAAATATAATTTAATAAATGAATTGTTGTATATGTTAAATATCGTTTTATATAATATTATTGATTTAAATAATTTATTTTAATATTTAAATTCTAATCAATTGTATATTAATTTAATTGATATAAATATTTATTTAATAATGTTTCAATTTAAAATGATTGATTTATTGTAAATAAATCAAATATAAATTGTATAATTACCATAAAGACGATTATCAATTGAAAATGGTTAAATATCATTATTTAACATTATTTATTATTGATGTTTATTGTTGTTGATATTGATGATGATTGACTTAAAAATATTAAAAAATGTTTTCTTGTTGGATATAAAATATCTTCTGAAGATGTTTTATTATTTTGAAATTCTAAAAAAATTTGTTGTTAAATATTATTAATAGATTTTTTTTTTGATTTTTTAAATGGTGGAAAATGTTTTTTTTTTATGTTGATCATTAAATTGTTTATCATGATCAATATAAATATTATGATCATCATTTATTTGTATTTCATTTGATAAATAAATATGATTATAAATAAAATCAATTAACAAAATAATTAAATCTATATTTAAATAAAATTTGTTCTATATTTAAAAATAATTAAATAAAATAATCGTTTATTTATATATTAATTTAATAATAAAAATGGTTTACATGAATGATTTATATAAGATAAATATTAATATATTAATATAAATAATTTATTTGATAACATATTTATTTTCAATTAATATATTAATAAGATATTTTCAAACTTGTAAAACTAATCAATAATAAAAATAATAATCAATTGAATTTGTTGGTTAGAGAATTATTGTTGATGTTTGTATTTGTTATTGATGATGATGATCATAATTTCGATTTTTTTAATTATGTTTCTTTACGTAATTTTCTCGAATAATTATTTACTGAATTTGTTATAAGTGGACTTTGTATTATAGATGATGTATGTCAAAATTACCAATGTTTATTAATCAATTGTGAAAAAATTTGTTTTTTTATTTGTTTGTTCATATGAATATTGAAATAAATTTTTGTTCTGATAAATAATAAACATTGAATTGATTGATAATTATTATTTCAATTTAATAATATATTCAATAGATAATAAACGATTATAATAAATTGTTGTTTCATTTGGTGAATTTATTGTTAATAATCTTTGTTTACATAAATCAACAAGATTTATAAATAATGATTGTTGTTGATCAATTGTTAATATATTATTTTAAAGAAAATAACGTTGAAAACATTCTTTAACAAATTGAGGCCACCATCAATTATATGAACATAATTCTAATAAACGTTTTTGCATATCAATTATTTGTACATGACGTATACCAAATCTATCGAATATTTGTAAAGCATCATTTAAAGAAATAAATAAAGACGAACTAAAACAAAAAAAATCTCACTCGAGTACTCTTATCGTTAGGATAAGTTGTTTTTAGTATCATCTGACTGATATATCCAAAAAAGAATAATTATATTTGTATGTTTACCTATCTGTTTGTTGTTGCATCATTCCTGATAATGATATTAATTCAGTTGTTAATAAATCTGCTAATAATTTAAAATAATAAGTTGTTGGTTGTTGATCATTAATTTGAATATGATCCATTTTAAAAATATTTCTACATTGATTTATTTTTCTATTAGCATGATTTATTTCTATTTCTAATTTTATACATTCATAATAAATATTTTCAATATTATTTCTTGATGATAATAAATTAAATAATTTTTGTCTATATAATGTATAATTTTATATTAATGTTTCATATATACCTTCAATTGATTTTAATTTATTTTCATATTTTTCATTATCATCATTTAATATATATGGATAATCAAAAAAAATATCCAACTAGTAAAGGTATTGATGATAGAGATATATTTTATTGTCAAATTAATCTTATACGTATATAACATCCTATAATAGATGCTTGTAAATCATGTAAAAAAAAATGGTTGATTTTATATATGTGTTCAAGAAAATAAACGTTGACAATCAATATGTTGACCATATTGACCAAAAATCAAAAGTTAATTATGCTAATTGATGAGATGATCGTATTTATATATAAGTTAATGTAAATTCTTCTCCAATATATACAATAAAATAACGTTCTCCTACCACCAGCTGATAAATGATAAATTCTAAATTGATATTATGGTTAATATTCTCTTTCGATGTTGAATTTTATTTTATATTTCTCGTTTATATATTATTTATTGTTCTTGTTGTTAAAGATTTAAATCATTAATATGATTTTAATTATTTGTTAATAAACGATTTGTTGATAATATTTGTTGATTTTGTATTGTTAATGTTGATATTGATGTATGTATAAGATCAGTAAATAAATTTCAATGTTTTTTTTCTTTTTTAACATTGATGTGTTGTGTTGTAGCTGCTTTATTATTTTTGTTTTGGAATTAAATTAAATTATTCTTTTTGCAAACATTGTTTATCTTTTAAATATTGATGGTAAATATGTTAACCATGGTGATGTTCGAATAAAATAATTATTTATTTGATAATCAATTGTTGTTATTGTTGATATTGGAAATGATGAAACAATTGTTGATGTTCTTTCATTTGTTGGTCCTCTTCAATTGATTCATGTTGGTTAAATCTAAAGTCTATCATCATATGTATTTATGATCGGTCTTGGAAATGAAAATGGATATAGATTTATTGGATTAAATGTTAACATAGATGGTGGAGCTGATGATGATATTGAATTTGAAGATGATCTTAACTAGTTGTTTATGTTAGATAAGATGGTGGTGCATTTGTTGCTTAATATGTACCTTATGTTAATAAATGTCTAATATAAATCCATGTTAATATGTGTACGATCATTTGATGAATGCATTCTATTATTTAATCGTTTTATTTCAAATCGACCTGGTATTGGTTTTAAATAAATATTTGATGATGAAAGAGAATTTCGTAAAATTTTTTATAACCCTAGTGCATGTACTGAGTTGAGGGTACCCGAAAAAGTACCCTGCTACTAGTATGTCACAGGATCTGTTGGGTACTGAAGTACCTTATCGGGTACCCTGTTACAAAATATTCAGTAAATGGGTACTTCAAAAGACTGTTCCAGCATTCAATTCAGTATTACTGCGCAGTATTTGAAGGTACCTTGGTGCAAAAATTTATGTTCAGGATCGAACCTTACTTTTAGCCATCGTTCGAGTTGCAGTTTTTTACGACAACACTAGTCGTAAATGTGAATTTTATAATTGACTATTACATTTTACTTAAATCAAATTACTACATGCATTCTTTTTTTGACTATCATAAAATAAAATTATTTGGTCAATAGAAATTATAAAACTGCATTTTTAGGAAATAATATAAATAGAAAAGAGCGATTTCATATAATTTTCAGGATAGAACAATATCTATTTAATAAAAAAAATGAATTATTGCTTCACAAATATAGGCAAACGTAACATTGAAGTAATAATCAAGAATTTACAATGTATAATTCGGAACAAAGAGAAACAAAGTTATAAGTCTTATTGAGTACTGTAATGGTTTATCACTTAATATACTAAATTTGTTTGTTCATACACATAAAAGCAGAACAGTATCAATAGGCAAAAGAATGACACAAAACAATAATAAAGAAACTGTTTTTAAATCATCATTAGAAAAAACAAAAAAGTGAATCAAAAATATACAGTTTACAATTAGATTACTAAGATAATTAAAACGAAAATATAGGTATATAATCACTTCCATTTAAACATTAACAGCTGATGTTGTTGTACCATTTGTTGACGTGGTTATTATTAATTGTTGTTGATTGTTTGGCATATTAACTATTTGTCGAGCTTCTTTTTTTTTCGAATTTTTCTTTATATCATTTCCTAATGACCCCATTGATTTAATAATTTCATTCCATGTTTGTTCAATGTTAATT